TCACTATGTTATGGTTACTTATACTAATTTAACAGCTATACACAAATAAAGTTCATTGAAAACTACAACGAGACTACAGACATGGGCAGAGCGAACAAGATGTAAAATATTCACCATCTAAAAAGATTAAAATTGACAATGACTGGAAGATATATTAAGATGCACAAGAGTTTCAGTATACAAAAGGAAGGTAAATGTGTATGTTTTTAATGGAAATGATTATCAACGTGACATAAAATACATGATTTGTTATATTTATCAAATGAATATTCTTTTTTGTGAACTATCAGATGGATTTACTATGGCCAACACCAATCTCCTAGCGAAATATTCAGAACTAACTTTGATGGATTGGACAAAAGAGTAATAATTAAGAACCTACCAACATATGTGTTTGGTATAGGAGTAGGTATGTAAACTATACGAAGCAAAATATGATCAACGTTTTATAATACATGTATGTGTTTACAATCTTGTCTATTTAGAATTAAGTAAAAAAATAAGAAAAAAAGAATATCAATAGAGTGAAAATTACCACACAATCAAATGCGCACAATAGTCATAAATGTTGTAAAAAAACAATATATTTGACGGATATCCTAAATTACATGGTACACATGTTAACGCATCAGTAAATGATCCATTTGGTCTCAGGTGGATGGATGTCTATTTGGCAATCCTGACACTTTGTTATATTATTACATTCAACAAAACACATATTCAGTTATGCAGAGAAATGCGATTATCATTTACTAAAGACATGTTTTTTTTTTGTATTAGCGTTTGCTATTTGATAATTATTATAATTTCAGACGTTGATATTAAGGATGTTCGCTCCTCTTGTTTTTGAATATTTTGCCAGATATTCGGAATCCTCTGGTTTTATCCATGTAGTGCCATTAAAAATATTTCCCCACTAACCCCTACTTTTCTTTTCATAATTTTATTACATATAGTTTTAAAAGCTATATTTGAAAATCCTATAAAATCCTTGTTATTTTTTCATATTTTTTCAAAGAAAAAGGGTGCTAATGTTATATGTATGAAAAGTCTAGAGAGAATTATTTCCCGCCAAATTTTCAATGGCTTATATCTCGAAAACAAGCACACGGACCCTTCATTTTTTTCTGCTTTTTTAGTTCCTTAATTTATATACTATCAATTTATAAAAGTCTTTTAAAAAGCTTGTTATTTTGAAACAGAGTAGCGAACATCCTTAAGCGTCTTTATTGGATGGAATATCACACAGGAGATTTACAATCTGCTTGGCTTAATGGGTCCGATGTCTAAACGATAATTAGCACAAATGCAACGTTTAATAATTGGGACATTGATATTGATGAAGATTTCATCTTCTACACAAGCAGCAACCAAATTATGACGATAAGCACATCGTAAGGACAGAACCCGACTGTTGTACACACAGACACACACGAAATTCATGTTTTTTTGTTATACAAGCAAGACGGTAAGACTATAAGTGTAGAAAATAATAAAATAAAATGTATTTTACACTACTACTTCACTACAGTGTTATCATATAAATAATAAGATTCAAATTCAATAAGTTTTAGTGATAATATTTTTCATAACCAACTGTTGTTTTTTTTTTTATATTTCATACAATTTATATATTCTAAAATAAATAAGCAGTAGCATGAGTACTTTTTAATAGATTTAAAAAAGAGTATAATTATGCTATAAAAGACAGATAGAATATTTTCATACTATGACTTCTAATAATTATTGTTATACGTACTAATATATATAGTTAGATTATTACTATCAAATATTAAGTATGGTCCCATTTATGTTGAGTTTTATGGTTGATCTAACTGAGTGTATTTTAGAGTTTAATTACTTGAAATGTGAATTATTATGACATTAAATGCATTGTACAAAGTATTTTAGTGTATAATTTACTGTCGCTTCCTAGCTGTTTGTGTATGTAAAACAATGCTTTACTAATTGCAGCGATATATATCTATATTTGAACAATATGTGATACATATTGCTTTACTTTTAACTGAATAACATAATATTGAGCAGATGTTTTTATTTTCTTCAGTTGATTGAAATATGTTGATTCAATTCATTAATTATATTACAATTAACCAGTGATTTATTTTGATAATGTTCAATTGAATATAAGACAACTGAAATTTGATTTGTATTATTGCATCTTTTAGGACAACGTTATTTATATTAATGTATATAGAAAGCATTGGCATCATTAAAATGCAAAGTCTTACATAAAAGTGAAAATGTGTTTAAAAAATGTACTTTATTCTTAGGCCAACATGTCACTTTATTAAATATTAAAATCAAGCTTTAAAGAACATCCGATTTACGCTATAGTTTGATGTATGACAAATATTTGTGTATACTTACAGGGAAAGGTTGTGACGAAAATGAGTAAATATTTTGTAAACCTACATTGAAAATATAAGAAAAATGTGTTCAGGGGAAGTGAATAAGACAAGATAGGAGAAGGATACTAAACTCATAAGTCGAAAACAAACCGACAACACCATGTCTAAAATGGAAATAAACAAACACACAAACAACAACACACAAAACAATAAAAGACTGAGCAACACGAACTCAACCAAAAACTGGGGGTGATCACAAAATATCCATTAAAATTAATATGCACTATTACTCTAAACATATAAAACACACTTTCTGGTAATACGAAATAATACAACTCTTTTCAAGTATCAATATTGTCTGATCTGACAGTGGTCGCTAATTTCATAATTAATGAAACATATACAACTATTTTATTTTGTTTTTAATTTTAATATAAATTTCGTACATTGGGTCATTCTCATGAGGGGTTTGTATAACATGTGTGCACACTTTTCGTTATTGGTATTTATATGGAGAAAAACAATCAGGAGCAATATCTTCCCTTAACTTTGTTGTATTTGTGTATATGATACTTAAAAAAAAGAATTGTAAATTGGTCAACCCAATATAAAAAAAAACATATACTTATGTCCAATAAGACAATGACGTGATTTTAGGACTTATAACGCAATAAAAGAAATGTTTTATCTTTAACTTTTTATCCATTTATTATTTTCCAGTGAAAAATATTATTGTTTAAATTCCAATAGTGTTATAATATAACTATTATAACAGCTATAAAACAACAGGTAAGTAAATAAAGTCTAGTGTTGATATCAATTCAAGAAGTTGTTTTCGATTTCCTAGATTTACAGATCGTGTTAGTAAATTTGCGAAAATTCAACAGTAAGTATGTTATCTGTATCATTTCGTATCAATTTTGCTCTAATAAATCAAGATAGATCCCCTGTCGTTTCACTTTGGCACACAATTACAAAAGATAAACGAATAATCCACAATTGTATTTAAAACCGATACATGTGTGATTAGAACCCATCGTAGGACAAAGAAAGAAACACTTGTTACCCGATGCATGTGCTAAATTATTCTTTTTGTTCATATAATGTGAATTTAAATAATACTACTGGTCATAGTCTAATATTATAACAGTTATTTAATATGAATATTGCTGTCCCATGCGTTCAGAAAGTTAAGAGGTTTAATCAATATCTATATTTGAATGAATATTGTTTGTAAAACATTAAATGATCGAATGTTTACTATTGCAGATGAACATATCCTTAAACAGAACACACACCATAGAAAAATATTAACAAATCATCAGGGCATATAGTAAAAGCCAACCATTGCTTGAATTCATATGTTGGTAAAGTTATACTTTGTGGATCACTAGTACGTTTTATATGAGACCAACCTTATCAACCACCAATACCTTACTTCTCCGACGTACACAAATGGAAATATAATAACAAACAACAAACGGTTGGTTTTTGGAAGACGAAAATTCCTACATACACCACTAAAAACAGTTGTTAGGCAACACAACATCTGACTAAAAATTAAGTAAAACAAAATCTACATTTTTCCTTCAAGAGTTTTTTTTTTTTCATTTTCAACCACGTATGTATTCAAAAGTACTAGATAAGTGTCATGTTGGTCAAATATTACATAGCTACACTGTGCGAGAATTTGAGTGAAGGAGTGAAAATAGACAGACACTTTTTGGACATAGTCTAGTTAAACCGAGCAACATTCTATAAGTAAGTAGTAAATAGTAAGTAAGTAGATTATTTAATAGTATAGTGACTTGCGTAATTACAATAATGTGTCAGCTAGTTTAATTCAGCATAATAAATACACCCTACCCCATGGCAATGGGTCTTGAAGTCAACTAAAAATTAAAGTTCATATTCGGTTATTCTTTATTTGCTTGTCCCAAGTCATGAGCTTGTAATGGAGTGTTGTCGTTTGAAGCTGTATATCATTTTAGTTTTTCGTTTATTGTTTTCTTAGTTGGTGCTTGTGTTATGCTGTTGAACCACCGTTCCAGATTAGGAGGAGGGTATGGAACAATCTAACATGTTTGACCTTGCAAGTTTATATATGTGCCTGTCCCAAGTCTGAAGCCTGTAATTCAGTGGTTGTCGTTTTTTATCTTTTATCATTTTTTTATTCTTTTGTACATGAATCCGGCTGACCTATAGTTGCTAACATCTACGTCAAGTGGTCGTCTCTGGTGGAGAGTGGTCTATATAGGCAATATAACCACATCTTCTTACATTTAAACAAAAAAGAAAAGAATAATGTGTTTTTATAGTGAATTACAACTGACAATTCATAAGAATAGAGAATAGCGGGAAGAAAACAGATTGAAGACCTTTTTATCTGAATACACCCCAAAATTAGGACCCCTGTATATGCTTAATACAAGGTTTAGCTCGGGAATGACGAGTGGTAAAAATAAATCACATTTTTATTTCTGTTAGTTATAAAATGTCAACAAGGACAAAAAGAATTATTTAAGATGTTCTTGATCTCAGACAAAAACTACAAACCACTTATGCCAGAACGGATACACAACCGGTAATAAAACATGTTTAATTTGTTTCGGAAAAAGAATAAAATATTTCGGAAGCAGGACTGTCCTGAATACTTTGTATAAGTAACGAATACAGTGTTGATTTTAAAGATAATAAATAAACGCAGCTGTCTTCAGTTATCAAAACAATGGTAAGTACATGTATTAACTAATATCAGAATGTCTCTGTGAATTTGATTGATGCCTCATTTCAAGTTTTCTTTATAATCATCATGTAAGAAGATGTGTTATGAGAAATTCTCCACCAAAGACATGTATTATTAAAACAGTAATATGACTGTCACAATAATATTTTTTACATAGAACCACAGATACTTATTTAAAAAGAGGTCAAAATTAGATTATTTTACAATAACTCTAAGATAATTGCACCTCTTGCCGATTTTTATTTCATAAAGATAGAAGGGGTATTTTTTTTTGTTTTATGTAGTTACATAGTTGCAATTAAAACGACGGACTGAAAACGTTTTTCGCTTATGCTTTTACAAATGAAAATATTTTAGGGAACTAACCTTATCACACAAACCCTCAACCAAATTTATTAATGACCCTAAGGGTTGACTGGAGTATAGAATATTGGTCATATGAACTCACTTCTAGTAGTATTATCTATGCTGAAAAAAGTCCTGTTTGGTTGTGCAAGATGTATAAATACGCAGCCACGTCTAGTCGAAAGGAGCCTTTAAATTCTGATGTCTGGTGCTAGGAGAGAATATCAATCTGTTCGCACTTAACTTTTACCAACACTGTTTTAAGGGGTACAATGTATAGGTGGTCGTCTCAAGGCTAATTTTTTTTTCATATATACAACATGTCCTCTTTTTCCCTTGCAATTGCAGTTTGCAGAACATAAAGTTATTTGAAACATGATTTAATGTACCTGTCCTCGCACAGGATATGCATGAAAGATTTCAATCTGGACGTTAAGCAAACAACAAACCATCTAGCTTCAACAAATTATTTCATGTCTCTTTCTTTTTCTCTCTCTCTAATGCTTTTGTTTGGTTAGAAGCAAGAAATTGTGTACACACGATCGCGAGTTAACACGTCAACTAATATCTTTATTACTTTTAATTCCAATAAAATGTACTACAAGTTATATCCAGATGCACACTTACAGATTTATTTTGCATGTGTAGACATTTTTAAACGTGACGTTATGAACCTTGTGTATTCGTTTATAAGCGTTCACCAATGAAATAAGACTTAGTAGATGCATGTAGAACATAGAAATAATTTTTGAATTAAATGTAACTTTGTCTCAACTTTTTTCCAGAATGTACGAGGAAGGTTCGTTTTCAGAGCATTTGTATGCATCTTACTAATGACCATCTCTACAGGTATGTGTTATTTATTGTCATTAAATTTACTTTACTTATTTAAGTTGTTTAAATGAAATTGGAAAAGCTAGTAATACCATTGAATTAGAATTTTGTACTCATTGTTACAACTAGTAATCACAAGCATTAAAATGAGTCATATGTTTTATACTTGTTTCGTTGTTCCATTTACTGTGCGTTATGTCAAAGGATTTTAATACTGTATGCTATCTAAATAAATTGGTAATTATTGGTTCCATATGAAACAAAGAGGTTGCATTTTATTTTCATTTGAAGCATTTTTTACAGTTTGATCATTCAAATGACTTAGATGTTACAAAACAACCAAAAATCCACAACAAGTTTACTTATTATTGATTCAGTTAAGACATAATCTAAATGATATATTATGTTTTAAATTTTCTATATAATTATCCTTTAACTAAGGTTACATCTCCCTCAATTTGGTCAAAGATGTTATGCCCGTTGTATTTGGCCCCCTTTTATTAGATGCCTTTAAAGGTTCTAGTTACTCTTTGTTTTTTGCTTTCTTAACTTTTGGTTAGATCATACCTAATGAAGAATATTCAAGAAACACGTGATATGCTCACAGAAATAATATCATTTGTTTTCTTTATAAAAATAAGGAGATGTGGTATTGCCAATGAGACAACTATCCACCAAAGACAAAATGACGTAGATGTTAGAAACTATAGGTCAACATACGGTCTTCCACAATGTCAAAAAAATATATAGCGTATAGTAAGTTATAAGAGGCCCCGACAGGGAAAAATGTAAAGCAATTCAAACGAGAACACCAACGGTCCGATGTATACCAACGAACGAAAGATATACAAATGTAGATTGTAACACATGTTAATCGTGTTCATTGTTTTCATGGTTATGAACAAAAATCGTAGTTTTTTAAATGCTTTAAAAGATATCAATATAACAAACGTGATTTCTTAAAGACATACCTATTGTCTGTATAATTCATTTGAAGGACAAGCTAATAGGACCAAAAGATCCTTCTTGAATATGTTCAGACAGATCAGCCATTTGTTTGACATGGGTTATACATTTGGAAATTATCTTCGAGACTATGGATGTTGGTGTGGAGTGGGCGGAAGCGAAACTCCTCAAGACAACATTGATAGGTGAGCCATGGTCATAATCTTTAGCTATTTTATCAAAAGAAAATTGCGTCATGCGAAAGTGAAAATGATTGGTGACCTATATAATATGCTTAATAAGCATTTTAATTTATTAGTCGCAAGGTATGTATTTCGTACATGAGTTTTTAGAAAACGAAGAATTATTTGCAATATTTTTAAAAGTTTACCCAGACGTTTATATTGGTTAACAACATTCCCTTTACAAAAGAAATTCAACCGGGGACGCTAATCTATTATTTATTTAGGATACGGATAATGACAACCCATTTTTCATTTAGAAAAGCAACACGCCACATGCTTAATATTTTTTTTCATCACTTTTCACTTATTTAACTAAAAAGCTGTTTTAAGGCTACACTTTACTTGAACACTTTGGTCTCGCATCGACCTTTTCCAGTTTCGGACTTGCGGGTCAAAAGTGAAACATAAAAAAAGTTATTACAGATGTTACTTAAAAAAGTAAAGGAAAATTGCTAAAATGTATCACTTAATGGTTACCTAAAATATGATGGCGAGGATCATTTTGAATTATACATCAAAAGTGCCAATCTTAATTTAATTACACATGTTGAATTTGCCAAACTTCAAAATCAGAAAGCTCTGAAAATTGCTAGAAATAGTCTTTAATATGTCATTTGGTCTCTGGTGGAGAGCTGATCCATTGGCAATTATACCACATTTTCTCATATTTCATATTTATGCTTATCATTATCTTACAACTATTTGACAACTTTAAATGGAGATTTGTTGGTTCAATTTTTACCAATTGGAAACTACTCATTTTTATAGACGCTGGTATATATACTCCTTTTTCAAAAAAAACTATTACACCTTCAACACACTTAGTCTTTTAGTTTTCAAACTACTCATGACAATTCTTTGTAGTGTTGCTAAGTCTTGTGTCTATCTTGTGTTTTGAGTATTGTTTGTCTTTTTGTTGATTTGTATTTTTTGCCATGGCATTGTCAGTTTGTATTCGACTAGTTAGTTTGAATGTCCCTTTGGTATCTTCGACTCTTTTTTTGTAGATGTTGTATGGTACATGATAGATGTTATGATCAGAATAGTAGAGATGGGTGTAGCGGTATTCACCTAGACGATTACAGCTACGAATGGACCAGTTTGTCAATCCGATGCACTAGTAAGTAGTCTAATAAACCACCACCCTTTGCCTATGTTAAATATTTGAGAGTTTGGATTGGGTTTGCAGAATAGAAAAGAATGGACAAACAGTGCAGAATAAACATGATACAGGCCAAAAACTAAAGAATAGAGAAAAATAAGCACAAAAATGAAGAATAAAGAATAATGGGGTGTTAGAAAATAAATAATAGTGAATAATGGGGAAAATCGATAAATAATTCAAAAAAAAGTTTGAAAAAAAAATTAAGAAAAATGAATGGACCCTTAATGGCTCGTATATTCACTTAAATATGTTAAATAGTTTCTGGATCAATAATTATCAATTTGAAAGTGATAATACTGGCTGTACAATTAAGATTGATCACAATAAACGGCTATCGTCAAAAATAACCATTTTTCTGTAGATAAGTCATGCTGTGCTGGTCCAAGCTCTTTTTTTTTATTAGTTTATCCCTGAAACAAAGATTAGGAATATAGGAATCAGCCTGTCTGTCTGCTTGTCCTTCCGGCCCAACGTCTTTATCCTGTGTTTAATTTACTTTAAACTTTATAGAAAATTGATCATCATTTGAAAAAAGTAAAATAACAAAAATACCGAACTCCGAGGAAAATTCAAAATGGAAAGTCCCTAATCAAATGGCAAAATCAAAAGCTCAAACACATCAAACGAAAGGATAACAACTGTCATATTTGAAAACATTACTATTTTTTATTATGTTGAGTTTATCAAGAATAACCCCTTTTCACTATTGAAATTGATACACATTCCAGAACCGACCATGTCATCGCAACTCCTTCTACGTAGTTTATCGTATCTTTGTGAAACTGAAAACGTCGTATGATCCTTATATGCAGATGTACATATTTTAGGGTTTTTGTATAGTAATGACCCTTTCAACAAAGACATTTTGACCTTTTCCAGCACCGACCTTGTCATTGCTACTGTTCCTATATGTTGTATCGTATCTACATGAAAATTAGTATACTGTTAGATTCTAAATACACTGATGTGTATATGGGTCAGATGCTCCAGTCTTTTGTGTTTTCCTAGCGAAACGGACCATTGAATTTGAAAAATGTTGGCCCTGTCAAGCTCCCACCTTATCGTCACAACATCGCGATGAGAATTACTTGTATTGTTGTCTCTATCATACTCAATCGTCAATCCAGGATCCGGGAATAAAGGCCAAGCTTAGGGAACATCTTAGTTACCGCTGCTGTTGGACTATCAGTCCCTGAGAGTATCATCAGCGCAGTAGTCAGTACTTCGGTAATGACATGATGTATACCTAACCTTTCTTATATAGTCCGTTTATAATTTTTTAATTTTATAAAGAAACTGAGGTTTCAACTCCCTCAGGCAAAGGTGACTCTAGATGGATTTAGCTTTTTTAAGTTCTGTTTGGTCATATAGCTCTTCAACTGTTTCGGTTCTGATAGATCCCTGGCTTTCAAATATTCGGCATTGAGTGTTCCTGATGAAGGTAAATCGTGAAAAGTGCTTCTGACGTATTCAATTAATAAGTTGTGTTTCATTTTTCTTCTTTTTTTTTTTTCTAATGTATTCTTATATTTTCACGGACGCACACACATTTTGCTTTTTATATAATTGACAACCAGCGGTTTTATTACATGTTATTTTTTTTATTTATTTACAGATAGTCCTGGATCTTGCGATTACAAAAACTGCAACTGCGACAAGGAGTTCTTGGATTGTTTGAGAAGTGCAAATTTTCCACGGACCTTTTTACCTGGACTTCGCAACTTCAACAAATGTTGATAAAAATGAACAATCTGATTGAGTACATCAAAATGCTTACTTATAATAATCACTGAAAAAGAATGTTTTTCGAAATAATTCTGATGCTATGTCTCAAATTGTTTAAAAAGATATCGGGATAATATTTCATCAATAAAATGGAATCTGTTCAACGTATTTCCCATTGTTCAATTTATGGAACTTCCCTTGAAGTCCTTTTGTCGTGAAATAGCATAACATATTTACATTTGCTTACTAACATAAAAAAGGACAAATATCTAATCGCATAGTGATCTATTTCATACAACGAACTAATTAATAATAGTATTGTTTATTTCAACGATTCACCTCGCTACATTCTGTATGTGCCTGTCACACGTGATCAGGAGACTGTAATCCAGTAGTTGTTGTTTGTTGCTGTGTATCATGATAGTTTTTGGTTTCTTGTCTTGTACAGGAATGCAGTCAATGGTTTTAACCTTTGAATTGTTTTACATTTCATTTTAGAGCCTTTTATGACTTTCTATATGAAATGGATTTTCCTCATTATTGAAGGCGCTTCGTTCGGTGGCCTATTGTTGTTAACTTCTAAGTCGTCTTGTCTCTGGAGGAGAGTCCTCTCGTTGGCAATCACACCACATCTTCTATGAGCACTTGCTGTGGGTTGCAAATATCAATTTGTCCAACCCTTTTTTTTTACTGAAAAAAAACCCAGGAGAACACCTAGTAGACTATTTTACCTCCTTGCAGATTACAATTCACTAAAACTTTTGTTTCGGAAGTAAGCATCTGTTTGGTGATTTATACTCCTCAAATAGCATACAATCCAATGGAAACTATGAGTTTAACTTCAAATGTACTCGATAATTTTCAAGTGTAAGTGGACCCCCCCCCCCTCTCCAGGGTCTTCTTCCGACTCGCAGCAAAACCCTTGCTATAACGGGGATTCGCTTGGCTGTGCGTGATGTACAAGTACGCAGCCAAGTCAGTTCGGAATGGGGTCGTTAAATCTGAAGCCTCGTGTAGGGAGAACGCCACGCCCTCTGCACGTTAATAACCCTTTTAATAAATCTTCGGGGGTGAGTAGGTTGCCTTTTGCCAGGCCAGGTTTCTGTCCCTTTCAAATATACGCACATTTTCCAGTGGCAGTCCAAATTTGCTGGGCGGCTCTACTACAGGAGATATCTATTGTATTTAAAGTTAAATTGTTCTTGTCTTGGACATGCATGAAATATTTGCCACTTAACGTTAAGCAACCAACAACTAATCATTTAAATGAAAGTATAACATTGGTCTAAATTATGAAACAGGTAACGTAAAAACCATAGGCTTTGTCTTAAAGGATCTCCTTTCATTGGTATAGCAAGATTCTAGAAAATTGTTAACGACGGCAGAAACGACATTTATAAAGGAATAGTTAATTAACATAATCCTTTATATTATGATGGATAATGTAAGGAGTAGAATATACGTCAACAGCAACCCAACGGCAAAAAAAACATATATTTGGCAACACAAAATCGTCAAAAATAGACAGTTGTTTAGGTATAACATATTTTTAAGTAGTGTCCAATGGTAAATATATGTTCTCAGTAAGTCTGTCCAAAGTCAGCATTTATACGAGTAAGTCGATAGCTGATAAAGGGAATAAACACGTCTGTGCTAAATTGCAGGTTCTAAGGAGACTGTATCGCTCACCTGGCATGATTGCATACAACTGATTTAACTATTAAAGAATATTTTTTATATTGTTTGCCAAAACAAAAAAATAGTTATAAATCATCATTTAGGGGCGATTACTTCGATAACAGGTCAACTTACGTTTTCTGTATAGTTTCTTTTGTCTATTGTTCCGCATGAATAAAATGACATGAGTATAAACCGTCTTCCCAGGATAGTACAACCTAAAGGGAGTCGACTAAAATAGGTTACCCCAAATGTGTTTATTTTCAATCTGTAAATTTCATTTAGCTGTTTACAATTTTCCTCTCGTGACTATAATGTGCGCGCTTAATGTATACGTATCTTAGCAATAGGTGCTGTTCTTGCCCATATTTCATTGTAACTATTAGGTTTGGAATATTTGAAACTAAATTGTGAAAGAATACATAACTCAGAAAACAGAAACAGTCAAGGACCTATTCGCACATCAGACAATCAAATATTCCAGTAAACGGTACACTGTACTTCTGATTTTTACTTAATACAAGTCACATCATGGACAGTAGCGACAACCAACCAATAAAACAAAAACAAATGAATAAAAATTTGTCCACAAATGAGAGACGTGTGATATATTTCACTAAGACACCTACCCAATGATACAAATAACTAAAAAAAAATTCTAGAGGGCAACATACAGACTTCGCCAATACGTAAATGTCTTTAAAATGTCTAGCTCTAAATCGCATGCAGCCTTAAAAGGGTAATCAATACATTAAACTGGGACTATCAACGGTCTGTCATGAATACCAAATTATTCAATTACAAAAATAGATGGTTTTCTCCGGGCACATCGGCTTCCTCCACCAATAAAAACTGGCCGCCACGAAATAGCCCAAAAGCGGTGCTTAAAAGTGGCGTTTAAACACCAAAAATCAAAAATCAAATAAAATATAAATGAATTCAATATAACATGTGTCAGAAAACAAATGACGCAATTCCAGGTTCTTGTCCCACACCTAAGTATGAGCACATTTCATATGTTCGAACTTTGAATTTTGAAAGATATTACATTAGGCCACGCCAAATTAATACTTCGTTCGCGGATCCCCCGCGTGTTGTGAAAGGTCAACGAGAAAAAAGTTGTATTTTTTAAAAAGATCCCGCGTCGAGTACGGAGCCGCGCGCGTACGTCTCTAAATTTATGTAACCAAAATTTTAATCAGTTGTGCGTTTGAAAGTAACGCCATACAGACACGGAAATTGACATCAAAAACGATCTAGATCTACCATTCACAACGTTATCATGGCCAATATAATATGATATATTCTAAACGTAAGATATGAGTGGAATATTTGTAGTAAGTGGTAACGCAGGTAACGACTTTACTACCAAACACAGAAGTGGAATGTGATTTGGACAATTTTTTTACCAATTTGTTTGAAGTGCTCCGTGCAAGACCACAAAGCACCAACGCCTCCGAATTGAAAGATTTAAATGATGACAATAAAACATGCATGAAAATGAAAGAGAATCCCGAAGATGACTGTTCATGCGTTGAAATGGCATCGCACTGATACTATAATTATATTTTTTACTTTTTATTACTTTCAGAATAAAAGTTTGTTTGACCTTGAAACTTTTATTTATATTTGCCGGTTTCAATACAAAGTTATAAAGCATTGAATTTGACAAGAAAGTGTTAGTGGTAATTGAATATAACACATCGTTCCAACTTTACAATTTACAAAATCTTCTAAAAATCAGAATTTGTATGATTGTCAATGAGACAAATTTACACCAGAGACCAAATTTGTTGAGGTTTGCAACCAGTAAAGTTCACGGTATGGCCTTCAACACAGAGCAATATCCCCATATACCAAAATATTTGATTGCTATTAAATTCTTCTTCCCCCACAGGGTGACTGGGGAATAGAAATATGGTCATCATAGGTCTTCCTCCGACCGGCAGTCAAACCCTTGCCAGAGGTGGGTGTTCGTTTGTCTGTGCCGGATGTACAAGTTCGCAGCAACTTCCGGTCAGAATGGGGACATTAAATCTGATGCCTCGTGTAGGGAGAGTGCCACGCTTTTTGCATGTTAGGAACCCTTGCAGCAACTCTTTGAGGGGTCTGTAGGTGGCATGTTGAAAGGCAGAATTTCTGTCCTTGTCCGATGTACCCTCATTTTCCCTAGGCGGTCCAAATTTCACCGACCTTCGTCCCGGACGGCCTCTGTTACAAAACCTACCCATTGTATTTATTGTTAACTTGCTCTCGTCCTGAACATGCATGGAATATTTGCCACTGGATGTTAAGCAACCAACAATCAATCAATCATATTAAATTTTTCAGCAAACAACGACTAAGTGGAATTTTGAATTTTGAAAGATATTACATTTAAGGTGGTAACGGTGTCTTCTGACATCTTAGAATGTGTAGTTAAATGAACAAGTTGATGTAATTTTTTGTTATACATGTTGTAATTACTAATATTTTTACAAAGGTTATGTGTTTGATTTCATTATTTTGATTAGCATATTAAGAGGGGGGGGGAGGGTATTATTAAATTGTATAATTCAATAAAGGAATCTACAATCTACAGCAAATATTTCTATGTTTTGTTATAGCCGGAAAAAGTTCGGTCATCCTATTTCTTTCTTTTGCTATTTTAAACTCCTATCTTCTCATATTTTATTTCGAAATTCGTATTATTTAGTTAATCTTCTATTCACATTATGACATTTTCATACAAAGTGTGTAATTTTTCGCAACCTGTAGCTTAAAAAACAGCTGGGCGATCTATTATTTTATCATATGTTTTTAACATATATACTTCATTTTGGCAAAGTATAAAACAATTCTATCATTTTTCTTTAATAATCCCGTACTACCTTGGCGCCTTTATTGCACCCACCTAACACATGGCTTTATCATTTAAACGTTTATTTCTGTACTTTCTGTTTTGCCCGTTCGTAAGAAAACCGTATGGTACAATTTCCGTTAAATTATGGTCGAACGTTAAAAAAAAGAACATTCCTTAATGTTTCAAGATTTGAAAAAACGCTCATTTCTAGTTCTTTTATAACATGTTTTTCTTTAAATCATATGAACCTTGTAGAAAAGAATACAATAATTCTAGCTGAAACGCACATTTAACTGTACAATAGTCAGCATTTGCGACAGAAATGACCCTGATATTTGAAAGTTGCTAGGCTTTGATTAATCTTATAGTCCTACTGTTGCAATATTCATAACAAAAGTATAATTTTATGATTTTATTAGCGATATCTAACCATATTTATGATGGGATGTATCCCTGATTTTCTAATTAAATGAACAACACGACGGGTGCCACATGTGGAGCAGGCTATGCTTACCTGTCGGAGCACCTGAGATCATCGGCGGTTTTGTTTGTGTACCTACTTGGGTAGTAATCGTAGATCAAAGGAATATGACGACTGAATTATTCGGGTTAACAGTTATGATGCTAGTTTTG